TATTATTGGACTTTTATTTGTTGTGATAGGGAGTAACTGAGGGTGTCCCATGTTAGGCAGGTGCTCTCCCACTGCTCCACAATCCCAGCCCATTTCATTTTAAAAATATTTTATTTATTATTTTAATTTTATGTGTATGAGTGTACTGCCTACATGTATGTAAGTGCACCCATGTTGTACAATGCCCACAGGCGTCAGAAGACGGTATTGGATTCCCCCAGAACTGGAATAACACATAGTTGTTAGCTGCCATGTGGGTGCTGGAAATTGAACTCAGGTCCTCTGCAAGATCAGCCAGTGTTCTTAACCTCTGAATCATCTCTCCAGCCCACCCCACCCCCAGCCCATTTCTTGTGGGAGAAATGCCCTACCCTCATCATGGAAAATCAGTGTCATCGCACTGGGTTTTTACATACTTTCAATGAGGTAAAGAGAATTGTCTTTATCCCATTTTAGAGAGCAAATTCTTGACATTAGGGATAGTTTTACTGAATGGTTGATGTCTGTAAACATATAGAAATACCTTTCATGACAGAGTCACCCCAGGGAACTTGCTGCTCCATCCCCAGTGCTGCTTGGTGATCTTTCCTCTAGTTCTTTCCATGGAAGGCAGTAGAAGCAGATTTGAGCTTCCTTTACTCTAGACCGAAGATAGCATAAAGAACTAGAATCAAGGTTCTTATTAGCCTATTCCCCTGAAGTGGATTAGGGGGATAAGCACATTGACCTCCCTTGAGCTTTGTATGCTGACAGCCTGAAATTCTTGTCAAAGATCTCTTTTTCTGATCTATTTTTGCCTCCTGTGCTTTGCTATGCTGCAAAGGACTGTCTCAACAGATCCAGCTTCCTCATTTCAGGGATCCTCATCCTATGCTGACCTATCTCAACTTAGTACTTAAGTAAAATTTTTACGTATTATCCAAGTAATTATGTCCTCTTAAAATTCCCCTAGCACTATTAGTCTAGAAAATGTATGCTGTGTGTTTGCAACTGTCAGTTTATGATGCCGTTTTCTGTCAGTCTGAGTGTTCACGTAGGATCAGAGTCACAGGCCATGGCTGTTTATTGTTAGGTAGTAACTTTTGATCCGGTTTTCTTCTCCTTACATTTGAATTACCAAACAAAGTACGGGTAAGTTTTCTCAATATAGTAATTATTAATTGTTATCATTACATACTATATTTCAATATATTATTAGTCATTGCTTTATAAATGAACATTCACTATCGAATACTCCAGGGATGATCTCAAATGAGAACACACAACAGGACATTAGTCTTGTCGTTTTAATATATTATAATATTCTATCGCTGTTCTAAAACATATTTTTCCTTTCTCTTTACAAGTAGATGACAGTTCACCAGAGAATGCTTCTCCTCAGTTAGATTTTATGTTTTTTTTTTTAAAAAATACGTTAAATAATTGAGGAATGCAAAAATAAGAAACTGATACTTATTGAATGTGCTCTAAGATAGACACAGCCATTTTACGTGCTCAGTGTTTACAAAAAATATACTTAGATCATGGTCTGTGAATTACAGTTAGCATCTACATAGGTGAAAGTTTCAATTGATTTCTGTACTTACTGATTTCCCTGGGTTTTACTCCCTTTCCTAGTTTGCTGTTATTTCATGACCATACCTCTTTTTCAACTTATTCTTTCACTGTTCATTGCTTTTTCCATTCTGTTCTTGGTTTCTGAATGGTAAGTATTCATTTTCACCAATGGACAGATTAAAAGCATCTAGAATTTTAGCATTTTAAGAAATCTTAGGGACTAATCAAATGACCCCCTAGTATTTCAACTTATATTTAATACCATGACAAAATGGTTGTTCTGCTGGAGATCCTGAAGTTCAAACATATGAAGTAATTCTGTGGATGCCGTGAGTGGACTTCCTCTCCGTAATTGTAAGGCTGCTAGTCTTCCTTTTTCATCTGCCTGCTGCCTGTCAGTGTTTTAATAATACAATGGGGGAGTCCATGAGTGATGCCCATGGGAGAAGTTAAACTTGGAATTAGGGAGTTAAGCCATAGTGGAGTATGAGAGTGAGTTAGCAGTGGAAGATGGAGTTGGAAGAGGAACAACATTGGTTTGTTTAGAAAAGTGATGAAAATATTGGGGTTTATGACTGATTTGACAAAGATAATAATAGAGTTCAGATCTCCTGGAGATGGAAATATAGGAGGTAAAAAAAAATCCATGGCCTCCACTTAAAAGATACGTATGTCAGCCTCCATTTGTAAACCTTGTGCAGTGAGAAATAGAGACAGGAGGATAACCTGAGCTTTTTGACCAGCAGCCTGTTCAACCAATGAACCCCAGGTTTATTGACAGTCCCTGTGTAGGAGAGACAAGGTGGGGACACGGAGTAACTCAGCAAGGAAATACACTTGCCATCCAGACTTGTTGACCTGAGTTTAGCATAGTTTAGGTAGTGCTGGAATGATAGTGAATTATTTGGTTTCATGAGTAATAACTCAAGGGAAAGCATAAACAAGATAAATATATCCGAATTCTGTATCTCAGTACCATTGTTTTTTTGTTTTTTGACAGTATTTGGCATTGAACCCAGGGAGTCACATGTCCTAAGCAAGTGTCTTATCATAGATGTACCTCTCCAGCCCCTAGATCAGATTTTATAACCTCTATCTATACAAATCACAGCATTATTTACTTCAATTCAATTATATAACCCTTACACATGTGCTACCAATAGGTCATGCATGTGACTTTTCTAACTATGTGTTTGGGTCTTGAAGTGTCCAATTAGAAGAAAACCTGCTTGTCTGTCAGTGGGAGCTGTCTTCTACACCATTATCCTTGAATTACCCAAGAACCTAAGGTGCTCCCTTAGTCAAAGATCCGCAGATCTCTTCTACATTTCAGACAGAGGTTTCAAAATGGACAAATGGGTAATTGATTTCTTTCTGATTTTATAACTTGTCCTGAATTCTGGCAATGTTTAGCCACAAGGCAGATTTTCCATACATATCCCTATGCCACTGTCTTTATGGAATACACTTTTAGACTGAAAACTCACTCATTTCAGTTCACATGTGCATATTCTTCATGAACAGCCATTATTTCCAAGGTGGTAGCCATCTCCTTTGGAAGAAGAGCCTCCCAGTGGTAGCCATGTACACTTGGTAAACTGACTCTCCTTACGTATCCAATCCTGTTTTGGGGTTTTTTTGGTGGTGGTGGCGGTGGGGTTTTTTGGGGGGGTTCTTTTTGAGACAGGGTCTTCCTGTAGCCCCAGCTGACCTGGAACTCACTATGTAGACCAGGCTGGCCTCAAACTCAGAGAGATCTGCCTGCCTCTGCCTCCCAAATGCTGGGATTAAAGGCGTGCACCACCACGTCCGGCCATCCAATACTGTTTTAAAAACAAAAGATTCTTCATTTATATATATATGCACATATCTGTGCTTATATAGGCATGTTGCCATGTGTACAGTGCTCTCTCTGACCAGGCCAGAAGAGTATAAGTTTCTCCTGGAGCTGAAAATACAGGTGGTTGTGAGCTGTCTGATATGAGTGCTGGGAACTGAACTTGGATCTTCTGCAAGAGCAGCAAGGGGCCTTGCCTTAACC